CATGTCATCCCAATTCCAAAGTATGAAGCTTTTTCATAACATTTTCTGGTGGCTAACAAACGTGGCACAGACACTGCAACACTGACTTCCAGAATGTCTTCTCTCAGAACCACAGCAGGGAAAAACACTCAACCAACAATCTGCAAGGATCCTGCTGCAGAGTCAATCAGACAAACCAGCCTTGCAGCTAAACAGGTGGGAGTGTGGCAGGATGAGAGTTGCCATCTGTAACAAGCCCCCAAGACAGATTCTGACCCAAATCACACGAACATGGCAGGGGTTACCTCTTAAGTTGTCACAGGGAGGTCTCCCATTCGTATTAAGAGTCAGAGCTTGCCTCCCACACACACTTATCTCTGGTGTGCAGAGCTCCTGACAATTGCTCTGTTTTCTCAGAGCAAGAGTTTGGCTGTGCCTGTTGTGAAGCACCTTGTGGTGTTTCTCCTCCTCCCTTCAATGATGAACCTTGCAGGTCTCAGCACAGGCACCACCAGCTTCAAATCCTGCCTTCACTCAGCACCAACAGCTCTGGAGCAGCCCTTTATGATCAAAAGGTTCAGAAATATGGGAACAAGTAGCTGTGACACACTGAGTTGGGGTACAAATTCAGCATTCCTGTAACAGGGATGGATTTCCTTGCACAGGAACAAACCAGAACATGTAGTAATCATCTGCTGTGAACCAGAAACTTCACACCAGGGGACATAAGTGCATGACATCCAGGAGACACTGTGATCTACACCATTGGATCCAATCTTCAAAGGAGGCCTAGGAATGGATTTATCACTTTTATATGCATTGGTCTCCAGCAAGGAAACACTTGGCCCATGTCTGCCCAAGTCTGGATTTAGACTTCTTAGTACATACATCTCCAAAATGCCAAAATACATGAGGTTATCTGTCTTCAAGCTGAAACACTCTGTATAGTGTGAATTCGGCATTATTAAAAGCCTCCAACCCCCACATTGCTTTACTCAAAATGTACATGAAGCAAAACCAGATTTTGGGCAGTCCCAAGACACAAACAGTGCCTTTAGCAACTACCACATGTACAGTGATTCCCCTACTTGTGAGTTACTCCAACTCTTAGTACAGACATTGTCCCAACTCCTTTCTATTGGTTTCACCAGTGCCAGAGGGACCTGTTGCCAGGTAGGGATGGCCTGGGAAGGATTTCTCTTCCCTGATAAAAGTTTTACTCTGAAGCAGCAAAGCTGCATTATCACTTAAGACAAACACATCTGTGTCACTTCAAGCCTACAGTGCACATCAACCAGCACCAAAATGCAGGAAGACAAAACCTCAGCTCTGTGAGACAATTTTTGTAGGACTGGCTGAGCTGGAAAGCTCCAAGCTCCAGCTAAGAGGCTGTAACCATCTGCAGAAAACACAGGCGAGCAAATAACACAGACATCGGTGATGGAGACGAGTGGTTATCACGTGGAAGTGAGCAGACACACTCACTTCTCCTGTGAACACTAGGCAATTAGGACACAGGTAGCAGTCAGATTCATTGGTCAGCAATTAAGTGTAGAGCCCTTCGAGATAAGTTAAAGCAGAACAAAGGAACGTTGCCAATGCTCTTTGTGCCGGAGACATACTTTGCTCAGTGATGCAAAGTCAGTTGCAAGAGCACATTCAGCCCACGATGAGCAAGAGAGAACTGTAATCCTACCAAGCCAAGACCTCTGGATACCAGGTCCTTCTTCAGCATCAGCTTTTTGTGCCTTCCTAACTGAGATGCCACAATGCCAGCAGGCTCCGAGCTCTCCCACAAGGTTCTTGGACGTAGAGATCAACATGATGCTACTTTGGAACTGCCAATTCCACTTGGAGAGCAACACTGATGTTCTTCATGGCCAAGAGCATACATGTATCCCCTGTCCATATCAGTCTGAGAACCATTCCTCTGCAGAGCCAGTGCTCAACTCCGTGGCAGCCAGCTTGCAAGTCCATACTGGAGAACATGGTATTTACTCTGAACAATTAAGCAATAAATGAAAATTCTGAAAGCTGGACAGAGAAAACCCTCCCATAGCTTTAAGTTGATTAAACCTATCATGGTTGAAAAGGAAAGACGAAAAACATGATATATTTTTGTTTATTATTGCTCTTAAAGGGCTTGGTAGTCAAATATACAAGCTATGTTCTATTAAACCAGAAGAAAATAAGATATAAAATCTATACTCACTTTTCCCAATCCAATCCACCTGCTAATCTTCATTAGTGACATTAACTTCAGCTATTTCCAGTCATTGCAATTTATACATACTCGGTGTAGGTGTGCGCGCGCGCGTAGAAAAAAAACCCTAATTGAGGAGACAAAATTCCCAATGAAGAGATTTGTGTTGGGTTTGTACTGTTTGGTGCACTGATGGAGGTTTCGGGTTTTTTCCAAATGGTTACTGATATGTCTGTTTAGAAGAGCAAAATTGGAGTATCTGATGATGTGTTTATTGTAATTTCAAAAAGAAAGCATGACAGTAAGTTATGATAAGAAAATACGAAATGTTGATTATTCTCCCCTTGATGTACATGCACTAATCCCATGATTCTGAATAGGGAGTTACATGCACTAAGAGGAGAAAAGGATCCTGTAAAAGAGAAAGGCTATTAACTCCCCCTTCTCCTTGAAGCAGCTCCCCCTCTTCTCAGCATTAAGAAGGGATTTATTTTGTGAAATTCTTGTCATGCCCATTAATATACTGCTCAAAATGTAAGTATAAAACAGAGTCAGTGGTCGGCCTGCTTTGCAAGCCTCTTCTGCTAAGCCAGCACGATTTATATAGACTCAATATCATCTTCAGGAAGCAAGTATACAGCATTGGTAACACCTTTCTAGGAAGCAATAATTATACCCATTACTGAGTTACTGAAGAGGAAAAAAAATAAAGAAAAGAAAGAAAACCTCGATTTTCTTAGCCCTCAGGTTAAAAAACAGGGAAAAGCCAGAGTTAACTTCATCAGCATGTGGATGTCTGACTGTACTTGAAAACAAAGTACATGAACATCCAGCAAGGAAACCAGAGTCATGGCTAGGCTCTGCTCTCCTCAATTCCCAAAGTGTGTTCCAAGTTCCACTAACATTAGCAACAGTTTTGCACCCCCTGTCTTAGGGAGGATTTATTGAGGGGACAAAGTTGACATCCTAACTCTGGGGCTCTGGGTACAAGGATTCAGCGAGGCTGAGTCTAACAGGAGACAGACAACGTAGGTCATCCTTCAAATGCTCTTGTTGAAAAGACCACAAATAAAAATCAAGTGCATGACAGAACAGTTATTAATGACCCCAAGTCAAATATTTCTCTAAGTTACAAAATTGCTTTTCCAGTGTTTGAAAACAGAAAAACCTGTGGGAGAAGAGGTTACATTCCAACAGTTAGAGTAAATACGAAAAGAAGGTAAATTATTACTCTCTTATCTTGGTTACTGGAGCAAAGATGAAGACAACAACCAGTGCTTTGATAAGATCTGCTCTTTACAAAAGTGAGATAAATATTCTAGTGGCAGCTGGGTTAAAGACACAGACCCTGAGGGTCAGCCTCTGCCCTCAGCTGTAGATCTGCAACCCATTTCACCCACTTCTGAGCACAGCCAAATGCAGATTGTGACCTTCAGACTTGATCATACAGGTAGTTACCATCTGTCCGCAAGTAATTCTCCAGCTATGCATACAGCAGCAATCTACAAAAACCTCTGAATGTGCGTTTGTACAAAAGGAAAGAAAGAGAGAAAAAGAAAGAAGAAAGGAGAGAGACAGGACAGGTACAGACATGATTCTGATCTCTAATTTTCAGTGAAAAAACCTGAAATGTCAACAAGCAAAACTACTTAAAATCCCTGAAGAGAACTCAATACTCTTTCTAACGCTTAACAGCACAGCTCACCTTGTGATATACTTCACATGAACATCTAAAGCACGACCAAGTAGAAAGTGCAGTACACCCTATCCTCACAGCACACAGGGTAAGGTCCTGGCCCCATCTGAATCAATGTCAAAACTCTCACTGGAGTTCAAGAGATGTCAGCATTCAAAATCTGACAGCTACAGACCTCTCCTTCTCAATCTGAAAAAACAAGACATTGTGAAAAATATTGTGCTGATTTCTGCTGTTGCCTCCCAGTTTACTGAGAGAGGTTGGCTGAACTGAACTTTGGTGATGAGAGATGGAAACAGGAAAAACAAAGGAGAAAACGTTCAGGACAATTGAATAACTCTTCCTTCTTTGAACAACTCCAAATCCCACAGTCAACCATTAATGCAAAAAGCAAAACAAGCCCAAAATTCTCATAGGTGTTTGACATGACAAAGGGCAAACAGCACTCAAGACTGAAGTAATATTCTGAAATTAAACAGCCTTGAGCAGTTAGCAGGAGATATGATGAGAATTTTATCCTAGTGGGTCTGTTCTATGGGATGTGCTGATGAATAATGCACTGCTTCCAAACTCCACTATCCCTTCTCCCCTGTTAGGGAAATTTTAAGACATTGCCTGAAAATAAAAAGTACCAGTGTAACACACAACTAGGATTTCGTCTGTAGCCATAACAACACAGCCCAAATGACTCTAACCCAATGAACATCTGTCAGTTAATTTAAGGAGGGCGTTTTTTTCTTGGCTCATTAGTAAAAGAAGTTGGAAATCAATAAACGCTACGTTGGCTTTAGCAAGAGGAAACATTCAATGGCTCCTGTTGTAAAAGTGAGTGTAGTGCTCTTGACAGAAACCAGTGTTTTCAGTCATCTGAAGATGCACGTGGCCATGGCCAATGCCCCTTTTCTCCCCCACCCCCAAGTCCCCCAACAAAACAAGAAAAATCAGTTTCTTCTTCCACCCCAACCCAGATTTCCTCCCATAACTTGACTACAGTAATCCTTAAACAGGCAGAAAGTTGATGCTTTCTCTTCAGTCGATGCCTTCAACTTCTTCATTCTTGGCTCAAGTTTTATTCATTAATATTAGTCATCAGTTATTAAGAAAAAGATAGTTTCTAAGTGTTTGTTGTTGGTTTTTAACTGAAGTTAATCGGATACCACAGTCTGGTTACATGTGCTGAACTGCAGCCGTCAGTTATTCCTTTTTCTTGAATTCCTGGTTGCCATAGCTGGAGCCTTTTTCTATTTCAGTTACTCCTATCAGTCTACGAACTCCAAAGGAAGCTTTAAAAATATAACAGAGAAATGGGAGGCACATTAAAACCAGTTCAGGCATTTAGGAGGTTACATGTAGACACACAAACAGAACCCCCAGGTGTTAACCCCATGCCCAAGTCAGCAGTGACTGCAGAGCACAGTGCACACAGATCACAGGTCACTAGAAGACTGAGACAATCCAGATTTAAAAACAGAATTGCTGTTTCTATGTTGATTAACAGGACATGTAGTATGACCACTGAAGCATATCCCCTTCCCTCCCTCCCCACCTTTTTTTTTGTTAGGGGGATGGAATTTATAGTTTTTTGTTGTATTGTTTGAGGTTTTTTTAATTCACAGACAAGCTGTCCAGCAAAAGTGTTTTCTCCTTCAGGTGACAAGATTCACCTCCTATTGATTATTATAGATGTTACCTAAGATATGAAGGGGAGTCTGCCTGGATTAAAGCTTTTGAAATAATAAAAATACTACACAATATGAAGACTACTGAGTGAGCTCCAAGTCCTCTTCTGCAAGCCCCATCCATATTAATTAATACAGAGAAATTCACTGGAGATAATGGATTTTTTTATGTGTCACTCTGGGCTTAGCATCTTCTCTGTTTGGATTACCTGCTCCAACAAGTCCCAGGAATGCAAGGATAAGGAGAGGTGATCCACTTGCAAAAACTCCAAAGCCAAATGTGAAGAGAGGAGAAAGGAGAACTGTGGCCCAAAAGAGAAAGTTTAGGAGAGTCCATGGTCTCCTAGGAGGTTTAAACTGCTTGCCAGGAAATACACCTTCCTGATTATACATCTCTTGCAAAGCATCCTGGGAGAAAGAGGAGAGAGAAGAGAACAGGTTCAGAATGTTTGCACCAAGCAATCCAAGGCTAGTCAACCCCAGGACATCATCAAGGACAGTATCTGTGGTAAATTCCTATCAAGAGTACACATCATCCAATTCCATCTGCTGTCATTGATTTGGGCATTTCTGTTTACTGCCCTTTGAAGGCAATTTGGCCACCATCAGAATCTGAAACCTTATCATCCTCTCCACTGCCAAATACCTTCATCTTCTCTGTTAATTGCTTAGGAATTTAGGGCAGCAACAGGCCAGAGGCCAGTTCAGACCCCACCTGCCCTCTCAGCTGGATACTTTTTCTTCCCATTTTCACTTCGAGAAAGGTCAGCAGGATTTAGCAAAGCACAGCAGAAAAATGCTGTGCATAGGGCCAAGAAGGGGAAGGGAAGGCCCAAGTAAGAGAGCAGAGACAGCATCCTGCTAACCATAACCCCAACACTCCAACTGAGCCACTGCATCCCAGGCTGAGCCTGCAGAGATGTCACGCTGAAACACTCACTCAAAGGAGCAAGTGAGCCCAAGTCCTCCCTCAGTCTGCAAGAATGTTCTGCAAGGTTTCCAAGCCATTACCAAGGATGGCTCAAGTCTGGCTTTTTCTTATTTTTCCCCACTCAAACTGTTTTTCTTTAAGCTTCCCTTACAAAGGGCTGAGAAGCACAAGGCATTCCTTGCCAGTAACAGCCTTTTGAGGACATTCCCTCTGTGCAGGAAGAGCACATTAAGGATTCCAGTTACAGTATATTGCAACCACTGTCAGATCAATATATAAAATACCTACATAGACAAGCAATTCCTCCCTGGCAACACCTCACACCAAAGTTCAATGGAGGTACAGCCGACATCAGGAAAGATGAAAAGGAATGGCATCAAGTTGCATGAGGGGAGATTTAGACTGGATATTAGGAAAAAATTTTCCGTGAAAAGGGTTGTGAAGCAGTGGAACAGGCTGCCCAGGGAAGTGGTGGAGTCACCATCTCTGGAAGTGTTCAAAAAACACATGGATATGACACTTGAAGAGACAGTTTAATGGTGAACACGGTGCTGGTACTGGGTTCACAGTTGGACTGGATGATCTTAGAGGTGTTTTCATAGAATCATAGAATTTGAGGGTTGGAATGGACCTTACAGATCATCTAGTCCCAACCCCTGCCCTGGGCAGGGACACCTCACTGGATCAGGTTGCTCAAGGCCTCACACCACCAGGGTCAGGCAGTTTTCCAACCTCAAGGATTCTATGATTCTATACATTTGCTAATGGGAGGTGAGAGGAGAAGATTATGATGGCTACTGCTCTAAGGTAATTTCTCTCTCCTTAACTGAATTAGAGATCACTTATTAAAACAAATTAGGCTAAAATAAATAGAATGAAACCCAGAACAAGTTGCTGCCTACCTACAGACTAAGCATAGGTTTGGCAATGCTGTGGCACAGGACATCATAGCTGGAGAAAGCTCAACGGATTTAAAGTTTCTCTACTCTTCTGTTTTGGACAAAGATAAGCAACATAGAAGTCAAGACACACATTTGAAATTCAACAATCCACCAACTAGGGCTGAACAACATGGTTCTCTCCTACTCCCCACAGAACTGTTAAATCTGTGGTCAAGAAAACAACCATCTAAGGTTAAAAAAAATAAAAATGACACAAGGAAAAGCTTTGAGGCATTTGAAGGCACTCTGGGCATGTGCTCTATCCGTCCCTGCCAGCAGATCCCAGGGACTGTCTGTACCATGTCACACACCACTGCAGATGTATTACCAGGAGGCAGAAGGAAAGTGACAGTGGAAGAAACATGAAAGCAAAGAACAATTGCAGCTGAAAACCAGGACCAGATGTCCCTCACAGACAGTTATCAGTCTTCTGGAGTGCTGAGAAAACACCCACAGGGGAAATGGAGCTCTTACAAATGTATGACAGAGACCCAAGAACTGAAGAATGTAGGCAGACAGTGGATTGCTATTAGTCTTCCACAACTCAGGCATATCTCTGAATTCCATTGTGCTTCCTGGCAATTTGAGACCTACTCACCAGCCAAGGGGCTCTTCTGCCCTGCTCCTTCCAGCAGTTTGAGGGATGGCTGCATAATAACACAGAATATCCTATCTCTTCTCTCCATCCAGTGGAAGAGGGTGCATTACTCACTGCCTTAAGACATTCCCTCTGTGAAAGTCCCAAAGGACAGGAAAAAAAAGCAAAGCTGTTTACCTTTTCCTGGTAAAGCTTATGAAGCCAGTTTGCAGCTTCCTTCTCATCTTGAGGGATATCTTCCAGAGGAAATCTCCTAGTTTAGTAGAGAGATTAAAAAAGGAAAGAAGAAAAAAAACAACAAAAAAAAAGAATTTAAGGCAAAAATCCAGGTATTTGACTTCAGTCCTCTACTAGGGAAAATTTTGCATTCAATGAAGGGCATAAATCACAGGCAATACTGTCACTGGTGGCAGAGGTCTTAAATGCAGGGAACAACTGGGATTTAAACAACACTTGATTCTTCACCTGAAAACTCAAGATTCTTAGGACAAAAGAAACTGTTCAAGCTCTTATCAGTTTCAGAGCACACCAGTAAAACAGGCATTTTCCATTCAAACACTGTTCTTCCTTCACCAGATCCACCAGGTCCCCAGTGAGCTCCCACTGAGGCACCCAGAGCTGGGAACAGACAAGCAAAGTGGCAAACCCCACGACAAGAGTTTGTTTGCACTTCGGTAGTGAAAACCCCATTTTAGGAGTAATGGGAGAGGTGGTTAAAAATGCACTTTGTACCAACACTAAGGAAAACATCTTCTGCAGTGACTGCACTTCTCCCTCCTTGTCTCTAATCCACTGTGAGGGTGCTGAGGCACTGGAACATGATGTCCAGAGAAGCTGTGGATGATCCATCCTTGGAAGTGTTCCAGGCCAGGTTGGATGGGGCTCTGAGCAGCCTGGGCTAGTGGAATGTGCCCCTGCCCATGGCTGGGGACTGGAACTAGATGATCTTTAAGGTCCCTTCACAATCCAAACCATTCTGTGATTCTATAAATATGTTCTAATACATTTCTAATAATTTTTGCATCCACTACATGAACTGAACATCAGATCTGACAGATTTATGAGCTCTAACAGAAGGAGCAGCTGAATTAATACAAATAATCCTCATAAAAGCTCAGTAAAAGGTCATTTGGTGAAAGTTCTCCGGTGAGGTTATCGTGGTTTTGCTGTCACCACTAGAGGGAACTCACAGCAATGACATTTGGTAACGTCCTGATTATTTCCTCTGGAGCAGGGACTGTATCTACTGCAGGGAGCTAAGCTGCTTACCTCTGCACAGGTAACTACATATGTATATGTATATATCAAGAACAAGAGCTTAGGTGCTTCCTTTCTCTGAGCTACAATAACTCTGATGGAACAATAAGGACATGTGCCATTTTTAGCCAAAAAACTGTAAAATAGTGTGCTTATTCTCATAGCTTCCTCTCCAAAACAGAGAGAAAGCTTCAGGTGTAGAAAAGCATCTTGAGAATATTAAGTCAACAAACATACCTTAAATCAAAATGATCTAACATACCCATTAGTTTCTTTCCCAGAGTACTATTAGTAATTTTACCTGGCAACATCACCCTCAACAGAATATTATGAACCCAAACCTCTTCTCACAGTACTGAAAACTACATTTATCTTCTTTCCTCCCACTACCTCTCCAACAAATAAAACCAACTTGCATCGGCACGAGCAAACCACAGGATATTCACTTGAAGGCAGCTGCTGTTCAGTGTATAACTGCACACAAGTCCATCCATGCATGTGTACCCCAGATCTAGCTAGACATTCCACATGCATCTGCCATCAGCATGGAATTAGAGGTGGAAGTGCCTGACCAGCTGTTTTCCTGGCTGGCAAGTTGTCTGTTCACATTCCTCATCAAGAGTATGTTTGGTAAGTGTGAATAGTCAAAATGAAACCCTTTGCAAATGAGTGATTCCATCTCCCCACAGACACCTCCAGGGTCTCCAACTGAAAGACTAAAATGTGTGGAAGTTGCAGCACCTGAGAACAGAGCTGGACCATGTGTCCTTCCCTTCCCCATTAAGGCTGCAGCACTCTGTCTCCCCTGGAATGGCATTTCTTCTTCAAAACTGTTGCTGCTATACCTCAACACACTGGACAAATAGTGTGATTCTCTACAGAGATTTTCACCATTGGAGGCTCTGGCAAGACACACCTGCTTTGATTAGATGGACAAGGTATAGACCCAGTGCCATTCACCTTCAACACACAGCCCCCAAAAGGCCAGGGGAGAAAAGTAGG